GCACTGCACACATACTGCCTTCCTTGAAGGTTTGCCCTTCCAGGGGTTCACGGTGCTCTTAGAGACATGTAGGGACCAGGGGGATGTGTGGCTGGACCGAAGCGACTCAGCTGAAGGGAGCTCAAAGGCTGTCGGGAATCCTGGCGGAGCGGCTTTTGGAGTCGCCCATCGTTCTTTTTTGGTTTTGTTTTAAAGCCCTGGGTTTTAGAGCCCTAGCCCTGGAACTCTGATGCTGACTCCACAGAAGGTAGTGAAATCTATGTTCCCCACTGCTGCATGCAGGGCTCAGCTTCTCTTCCCCCTCTCCCTCTCCCCCTCCCTGCAAACATTTATTATTTCTTGCTCCTGGCTGTCAGCAGCAACAAACTAAGATTAATCACTCGCCTGCCTGGCTGGCCCCAGACATGCCCACTGTTTGAAAACTCTCTCCTTCACCTACAAATCAATGAGGGGAGAAGAGAAAGAAAAATACCTCTAACTGAAATGCCTCCCCTGAGCTCTGCCAGATCCACGACACCTACCTACCCTTTCCTATAAACCAGGGGGCATTTACTGGGCGGTACTGGGTGTACAGCAGCCAAAAGAACTCACTGTTCCAGGCAGATGCAAAGGGATGTCCCTAAGCACACAGGGGTCTTTCTTCATAAACTTCCCACCCCACCCCACAGGGTGGAGGTGGGCCCGCCCCTGTCCTCAGATTCAAGGAAGGTCTCTGTAGGCTCGCTGCAGAGCTGCACAACTGGAAGCCAGTGGTGGTCGAACCCCAGGCCCTCACCTTGTTATCTGCTGTCTGCAGCGTGGGGACACGGCAGGGACACTGGTGAAAGGCTGAACCAGAACTCCACACAAAGTGCCTGAATGAGCAGCAGGGTTCCCCTCCATCTGAGCTTCTACCCCATGCTCTCATGCTCCTCACTCCAGCCCTTTCACAGGAGATCCCCTGCCAGTGCAGATTCAGGTCACATAGGTGTGGCACGTGGGACACAGGGAAGCCAAAGCTGTAGCCTTTCCCTTTGGCAACACTCATGTCTGTACCTTACTGATGTTCCTAGAACAAGGCTCAGAGAGCACTACTCTTGCTATGGACACTTGCAGGGACTCCTCTGTTCTCTGAGAAAAAGCCCCATCCTTTAGCCAGGATGTGCCACTCCTGGACATGGGCCAATGTGGGATTTGTTTTTCTTAGCATGCCCGTGCCTGCTCCCTCTTCAATGTCCACCACTTATAACCTTCCTCCCCGCCCCCTCCCCTCTCGTTTTCCCCATCTTGTCCAGATTCTTCCGCAAATCTTGCAGAACTAACACTTAAAGGGCCCTTTATAGCTCAACGAGCCTGAAGAACCCTACTAATGAGACTGTTCCTGCCTTTACAGGGAAACAAGAGGGCGCCGGCTTTTGCTATTTTCTCACCAATTGCTAAAGGCTCAACCTTTTGCTTGTGTGGCTGGAGAAAGTGTGCAGGCACGAGGTTGGCTAGAACTTGTTGTCAAACTCAGGGGACAAGAGACACCTGCAACAGGAGAGACTGAGAGTGATGAATGTCATTTGAAGGATCTCTGAACCAGCTTCAAAGGTGGGTGTTGTCCACAGTAGAGGGTGACAGACGTCTGAGGTGTGAAGGGGGATGGGCTATAGACCTTGCCCAAAACAGGAAGCTGGAGGGAGGCAGTGTTATCAGACCCAGGGGTGTCACTGATCCCCACAAAAACAAGTCACTGTCTTCATTGTCAGAGCAGTCCAATATGCACTCAAGGGCAGAGTTACGTCCATTGTGAATCTCCGCTGGGGATGTTTTCTCATTTAGATAAATCCTTGAAGTCACTTACACAGCTGATACCCTAAGGCCTTCTGATCAAATATAAGGGTGTATGTCTGTATCGGTGTGTGCCACAGTTCCAACCGCAGCCTTGCCAGACACCTTAGCAGGCATTCAGACTTCTAACCTCACACAAAGATCTGGGAATCTGCCCTAGCCCCTGCATGAGGCCACCCTAGCACAAGTGTGCAGGCCACAGACATCTATCTGCTGATGGATGAGGGGACAGACTCTGAGCAGGACCCTTTAGCCAGTGGCCTTGTCCCTGTGAATCTGACCAACTCCTCTAGGAGACACAGAAGTCCTATGAGGCTCCTCAACACCACACCTTTACCCTCTCTCTCTACTGAGGAATACTCGCATCTCCTAAGGGTCGCCAGTAGCTTTTGCCCCTGAAGCTTCTGACCATTGGTCGTGGTGACCACCTGTTACAGGCCACCTCTGGGCACGCAAAGCCCCTGGTGCAGTCCTGCATGCTGCAAAGCAGTCAGAATGAGGATGGTTGTGAGTTTGCAGCTGGGTCTGGCTGTCCGCCTTGGCTCTCTCTCTCCAGACCCAAGTGCCAGGTACAGAAGTTTCCAACAAAGTCTTCCAAGGGGAAGGACAGAGCAGGTCCAGGGCCCTGCCCTAGAGAAATAGGCTTCTCCAAGTACATTCTCTTCCACACACCTTTCTCACAGAAAGATCCAATACCTACATGAAAATGGCCGGAGGCCGAGAAGAGAAATAGCTGGAATTCCAATGTCAGCTTGCAACCCGTCTTGTGTGGTGTGGGGCTGCCATTCTGCACCCAGCACTGGCAGCAGGCCTGAAGATGTAAGAAACCACATACTGCATACAGGCTGGCAAAGGTGATGCTTGTCCAAAGCAGCCAGTACCCACATACCACAGCTGCCCTGTTTGTGGACGAGGGTCACAGAACATGGCTGTTCTGGGAAGCACCGCTTCAAGGAAAGACTGCCTATGTGAGCAGCACTCTGACCACAAGGGGGGTAACTCTAATGGCGCTAGACGAGCAAACCCAATCCTCCTGCTCCAGCTCCTGTGTGGAAGAGTAGTCGCTACACAGCAGGCCTGGTGGGTAGATCAGACAGGACAACAAACCAGACCTCAGGCTGGCGGCCAAGGGCTCTTGTGCAGCATACTAGATGCCACTGGCTGGGGAAGTGCAGCTGATTTAGCCAGAGAATGCCCACCAAGCAAAAGTAGAGGCTGAATCCACAGGCAGGGACACATGGGGAGCCAGTGGTGTCCATAAAGACTGCCAAAGTCTGACTTTTGCTGGTCACACACTGGTGATGCAAACAGTGAGCGGCAGAACTCGACACTGTCTATACTCTGGACCACAAGGTCTCACGATAGAATCCCAGCTGGCCTATAACCTGCTTCGTAGACCAGGCTGGCCTCCAACTCACAGCTATCCACCTGCCTCTGCTTCACATGTGCTAGGATGAAAGGCATGTGTTACCACAGGTTTCTTAACTAGACAACAAGCATCTTCGAGGCTACTAGCAGGAAACAGGGACAGGGTAGGAACTTTACTAGGTCACATGGGCAATGCTGACTGGACTAGATGCTTGTTACTTAAAAACAGGTCATCATCCCAGTCCACAGATGAGGACAGGGAGGCTCAGAATTGTGAAGGCCAAGGAGGGATGAGGTCTTCCACTGGCTACCACAGCACCCAGACCACCTGAATGACAAGCCTATCACTATAAAAGCAGAATCAACGTCTAACCCCTAGAGAGGGCCCCAATCCAATGGCACATGGCAAGGATAAAGGGGCCAAGCCCTGACCTCTGGAACCAACCCATGACTTGGTTTTTATGCAGACTGAGTAACGAGTTCTTCTCAAGGAGGTAGAAGCATGGATGCTGCTGGGTTCACTGGGGTCATTTCTTCAGCAGCTGGCTGCAGACTCCTCAAACACTCCAACACACCACAGGTTCTCAGCAGACCGTTTCCCACAATCCCACATGGTCATGGCACACAACTAGATTGCTTTTTTTTAGGGGTGGGCATGTCTCCATGCATCAAATGTGAAGGCTGATACCTGACAAGGCCCATCCCTGGCACACAGGGCCTCTCTGTTCCTCCTACTGAGCAGGGCTTCTGGAGAGGCCCCTCCACAGTGCCAGACAATGGAGATTCTAGGAGGAATGTGACCCCTGAGGAATGAACACCGAGACAGAGAAAGAGACAACAAAGCCAGCAGCACCGGGGCCCTTGATGGCAGCAGGCTATCCGGGGCTATGGGGATAGGTTGGCCACATGACAGGGTGCCCACCCTGCCATCATGTGTGCCAGCTTTCCTGAAAGAAGTGCTGCCAAGCCTACTCTCCATCAGGAGCCTTTGGCAAGGATCTAGGGCAGAGGGGAAGCAAGGGACCCAGTATGTCTACATGGAGGACCTGGGCCACACTCCAGCTATGTCACTAATTCTGTGTCCGTAGAGAGTCCTCTTCCTCTGAGCCTCCATTTCCTCATCTATAAAATGGAGTCTAGATCTCTTCTTGGGTCCTGCCTAGCAACATCAACGAACAACGGAACACTCAACATGGAAACAACAACAACAACAACAACAACAACAACAAAAAACAACCCTTTTCTTATTTCTAAACCTGTTTATTTCAATAGCTCATGGGTCAGAAAGACCTGGCAATCCGCAGAGCGGCGATAACCCCAGTGGGGTTCTTTCTAGCTCATGGCATTCCCTCCCAAACTCTGGAGTTTACAGAAGGCACCTGCCCGGGGACGCCCTGACAACAGGAAGGTTTCTCACAACAGCAACCCAGCACATGGAGGGTCAGACACGCTCATCAGTCACCTGCTCTGCGGGCCTCAGTTTCCCAGTCTACAGAGTAAGGCAACATGTTCCTCATCAGAGGACTATATGAAGCTGGAGACAGGCAAGACGTGCTAAGAGCCAAGCACAGATCTGGGCTCACTGCACACGAGAGCTCTTCCTAGCTAGTGACCACACTTCCGAGGCCAAGCCTCTCTCCTCTGGGAAAGCAGCAGGGGGTCACAGCTTCTCTGGGTCCCCATTAAAAACTACATTAAAAACCAGGTTGAAATAACTCACGCAGACAAGTTCTTGGGGAAACGGAGTGCATCCTTTCTTCACTAGACCCATGCAGGCACACTCCACTGTTCGGGGTAGGCAGAGGGCATAAGGTACTCACTTGAGGGAGAGGGAGTAATCGTGTTTGCTGGTCTGACTATTCCGGACAAGGTAGCTACACTCCTTACAGAGTCGCAGCAGATTCTCGGCATCACTTCTGCTGATGGCTCCATGATACCATCTGGGGAGAGGACAAGAGGGGAGTCAGAATTGGGTGGGTCAGCCCCCCCGACCTCCGAGGAGGCTCAGTGCCCTCAGAGGGCAGCTGCTGACTCCAGCCTCCTGTGGGGAGGCTCGACAGCTGCTCTGTCAGTGTCTGCCACAGGTCAGGGAGAAGAGTGACAGACCCCTGCAAGGCTTCCCATGCAAGGCCCGCGGGCCATGCAAGCAACCCAACACCAGGTACTCTGTGCCCATCCAGTTTGCCCTGTGGTGACAGGTGCTAAGGAGATGAAAGTGAGGCCGGATCCCACAGCTGGGGCTGTGCCAGGCAGGGCAACCAGGAAATCCTGTGCGGACTGGAGGAGGAGGAGGAAAGGAAGCCCCGAAGAAAGGCGGCTACAAAGAACACGTTGTGGCAGAGTCTAGTGTGGGCACAAGACTAGTCTGGGAATGGTGTCGGAAAGAGCAGCCAGAGAGGTAACAGGGTAAGAGTAGTGGAGACAGGAGCAGGCAGTGTGGCCCAGGCCTTTCTGAGGTGGGCCAGGGAATTTCTTTCAATGAAATGGGCTCCTAGAACATGCCAACAGGAAGCCTCATGGGCAAAGGAGAGGACAGCTCACTAATCTGAAAGAGCCTGGCTGGCCCCTGCTCTAGCTGGGTAAATAAGAATCCCAGCACTGAGTTTCTGGATACAACAGGAGCCAGAGAAGGAGGAGGGCGTGTGGTGCAGGGGGCAGATGGCCCCACCTGGCCACAGAATGGATATGTCACCATGAATCTGTGACTGGGAAAACTGGAGACAAAATCTCAATGGGGTGGCAAAGGCCTTCAGTGACAAGGAGGAGGGACTCCCCAAACCTCCTCTGTGTCTGTGCAGGATCCACGAAGGGAACATTGCAACAGCAGAAGTGACTATATGGTGAGATGTCAGATGTGTGTGTGTGTGAGTGTGAGAGAGGGAATACACACTACAGACTGTCAATCTGTCTGTCTTTCTATGGTTACACAGAAACAGAACACAGGTTGGGGATGTTTAGGCTACCATAATCAGAAAATTTCCAGGGATTCTGGGCCCTAAGGCAGCCATGGGGAGAAACAGCCAAACAAAAACAAAGTTGGCTTCACAAGCAAGTGGCCCCAGATGTGGAGAGTCCAGGCTCAGGAGGGCAGCCTGAGCGACATCCCCCAGCAAGCTGACAAAGCATTTTATTAGGATCACATTTCTAGCCAGCTGAAACTGAGCTGTCCTCAGGGAAGGCAGGAAAATTCCCTAGGTAAATGATGCCCGTTGTCTCCCTCCCTGAGCATAGGGACTGGAAGAGAGACAGAGAGAGGGGCCCTAGGGGCCTTGTTAAGGGTAGTTCCTGGTGGCAAACAGGTAAGCTGTAAGGTCCTGTCCTGGCTGCTTTATGTTCAAAGAAAGGAGGGGCCAGGCGTAAAGGATCAAAAAGAGGGCAAAGGGCACTGGATCAGGAGCCAGGAGATCAGCAGGCAGCCTGTTGGTAGGAGGCCGGAGATCACAGGCTGTCTTGGGCATTTGGCCTAGTAGTGCTGGATCTGAGCAAGGGACCAGCTGGAAACACGCTGAAGCCTGTGGAGATGGCCAGCCAGGTCAGACTCAAGGGGTCAGGGAGACTCAACCACTGTCATTCAACCCAGCCAATAGCAACTGGTTTCTCCAATATTTACTCACTATACCCTTGATCTCATGGGGCTGACATGGAGAGGAAGCCAGTCTGGACAGCACCGGTGTCCCACAGGAACCAGGAGCTGGGATGAGGCAGGACTACTGTGGTGGGAGGTACCCCCTTCAGCACTAACAGTCAGGAAAGCCCCGGAGAAGGACACCCGGCTTGAGAACTGGTATCACCCAGGTCTAGACTGGTAAGAACTCACTGCATACGGAAGGACCGTTGCTGAAACCATGCCAGCAATAGCTACCGCTCACTTTACAATGCAGACCCACTCTGCGCCAGCAACACCAACCTCTCACTTTATGCTCTCCTCAAAAAAAACTTATTTACTTATTTAAGATAGGGTTTCTTTCTCTAGCTGTTCTAGAACTTACTCTAGAGCAGGATGGCCTCAAACTCATAGAGTTCCTTCTGCCTCTGCCTCCTGAGTGCTGGGATTAAAGGTGTGTGCCGCCGCTGCCACCGCCCAGCATAATCTCTCACTCTACACCAGGCACATGATCAGGCTGGGAGTAAGCAAAGTCCAGGCGGAGGTAACAGCAAAGAGAGAATGGGGTTCAGGTTATGAGGCTGGGCCTTAGTTTCCCTTGACTACACATAAACTTGCTAAGCCTGGAGAAACTCATTGTAGCCAAGTACTGATGTGGTAAGAAACTGAAGCTGGGGTGTCATCCTGGAGTAGGGGAAGAGTTGCAGCAACAGGGACCTAGCAGGGCAGAGGTGTCATCGTGGTCAAGAGCAAGGGCAGTGAAAGGGCCACTCCTGGCACAGGGCTCGGAGGAGGGGCAGGGCAGCATGGGTAGACCTCAGACCGTGACAGGTGAGAGATCTTGGAGAGCTGATGAAGGGCAAACACATGCAGCACAAAAGCTGTGCAGTAACCTAATTTACACTGAGGGGGGTAGGTTTACTTCAGACTTAGCAGCTAGGATGAAAAATGACGGGAAGTGACAGCTCAAGATTTCGCAATCCCTCCTGCCAGTCACTGAGGGTGAAGGTGGCAACATGGTGTGATAAAACCAGGCCTGGCCAGGGGTCAGGAGCTTAGACCTCCCAGGAGCCTCTGTCACGAGGGGCCAGTGATCAACTGTATTTACAATAAAGACGCGGAGGAGGGCACAGCATCTAAAAGAAGCAGGGAGGGGCGGCCCCGGCACTGCATCAGTGAACTTACATTTGTTTCTCCAGTGGAATGGTGGGATCCACTCTCTCTCCCAGAATCCCACAGAACTCAGGGCTCCCGTGTTTGATGGGCTTGAAGCCTCCTCCAGGAGCACGGAGCTGGCGCCGTCGGTCCCGAGAAGGTGAAGGGGAAGACTGCCGCTTCTCATTGCCGTTGAACTGGGCTGTGAGAATGGAAAGGAGAAGACAGATGCAACCATCACCTGGGGTCCAGGCAGCACTCAGTGGGCAATAGTCTGTATGGTGGCGTTTGTTTACGCTGTAAGAAATAAAGCCTGCCTGAAGATCAGAGTGTGGAGCTAGCCACGCTAGTCAGTCATAGAAGCCAGGCAATAGTGGCACACACCTTTCATGCCAGTACCCAGAAGACAGAGGCAGACGAATAGTTCCAGGCCACCCTGGACTACACAAGATTGAATCAATCTAAAAGAGAAACAGAGCTCACACCTTTGATCCCAGAATTTGGGAATCACACACTTTTAATACCAACATTATGAAGGTGGAGTCAGGATTGATATGGCTGGGCAGACAGAGGAGACAGGAGCTCAGGGTATTTAGTCTGAGGACTTACAGAGAAAGGACGCCCCATTCGGTCTGAGGATTTTGTAGAGGTAAGAACTAGTAGTGGCTGGCTGCTCTGCTTCTCTGATCTTTCAGCTTTCACCCCCTAACATCCGATCCCGGGTTTTTATTATTAGGATCAATTGGAAATCGCGCTGCAATTCTGCTTTGCATTTGACACTCTGCAAGAGTAAGAGAGGATCCCCAAATGCTGGGTTTTGCTATAGCCTAAGTGTGTCCCCAAAAGTTCCTATGCTGAATGAGTCAATGTTGGATAGCAGGCCCTTAAAGGAAGCACTTGAACTGTGAGCACTCGGGAATGAACGCTGAGATCCTAAACAGGATCAGTCACCGTGAACAAGAGGAAAGCCCCAATTCCAGAACACCCGGGTTTTGTCTCCCACAGCTGACAGACCAGATCACACTTGCTCTTCCTGCATCAGGCCATGGAGCTGCCAGCATCCAGAACCATCATCTCCAACATCCCGCTTTTCTTTGTGTATTATCTAGACTCAAACATTGTTATTACATAAAATGGGGCAAGACAGCATCCCAAGACAGGACATAGAGAAATTGCCAAAGTCGGGCTGGCTGCATCTGGGTTACTGAGCCCAGTCTGGTCCCTGGAGAATCTCCCTCTATGTTTTAGCAGGGCTCACAGCTCTCCCACAAGGCCTCTGTTCTCTAAAAGGCTGGGGCAGGGGTGGGGAGAGCTCCTCCTAGGATGTAAACTCTGCCCTCAGGTCTCCCTGTCTACCCAAGGCCACAGTGGTGGTCTTTGTCTTCTTCAACCTCTCCACCCTCTTCTTCCTGAAAAACCCTACTGAGCTCCACATAGGGTAGCATGGCTTCCGGAGCCTGTTCCTCTTCATTTAGATACTATGTATGCATGGACAGACTCAAGGAAACAAGAGAGCCCCCAGCAGGCACAAAGCGGCATGGTAACAGAGGCCCCACCATGTAGACCACATACCAAGGCCACAGAGGACCTCAGCTCTTTAGAGAGGGGGAAAGGTGTGTGTGTGTTTGTGTGTGTGTGTGTGTGTGTGTATGCATATGCATGAGCAGGTGCCTACAGAAGACAAGAGTAAGCTGGAGTTATTAGCAGTTGTGAGCCATCTACTATGGAGGCTAGAACTCAACTCCAGTCCTCCAGAAGAGCAGCCAAGTGTTCTTAACCATTGAGCCATCTCTCCAGTCCTGAACTCACACTCTTAGGTACAGGCAACTAGGCCTTCTGACACCTACCTAGCTCCTGCTCAGGTTCAGGGCTCACTCAACTCTGTCGCCTTTAGAAGCTACTTCTCTCAGGAAACTCCAGAATTCCCTCGGCCAAGGCATCTAAATCACCAGTCTCCTTGCCTGGCTCTCAAGAGTCACTGAGAATGGGCTGTAGCATCATTGTCCCACCTCACACAGTGCCTGCAAGGTAACAGGCGCTCAGTGCAAAATGAAAAAACCTTAACGAGCTCATGTTTTGCTTTTCTGGGAAAAAAAATATCAGTTTTCCTACCAGATAAACTGGATAAACCTAAGAACGTCCTAGTCGACACTCTAATTCCCCACTGGATTAATTTATACATCCTTTGGCATGCTTGATACTGCAGCCATGTATTTTCCTGAGAACAGGTGGTGATGAATGACAAGCTTAATTAGGCAAATCATTTCACCTAAAACACAAATATACAAACTCCAAGTGCAGTGATTCGACAGCCAAAGGGGGAGGGGACCTGAACAAAAGCTCCAAATACAACCGTTCCCATCCCTTCTAATTAAGTTTCTCTTTAATCTGCAATTTTAAATGGCAATTCTTTTAATTTAGTGGTTTTCTGTATGAGATAAAGACGTAATTCCTCAGAAGAATATCTGCATTTAGAGGAAAACACGCTGCCCCCACGAGTTGTTCAAATGACAGAACTTAATGAGTCCCACCGATAGGCAATTAAAGAGCAAGTTGGAATCCTGCAGGAGGGAGGGCCACTCGGGGTTGTGTAGAACGAGGAGGTGCTGAACATCTGACTTCAGTCCCCAGGCTGCAGACTAGTCCTGGTGGCAGGAGAAGGGTGACCCAGACAGTGTCCTCAGGGTCAGCAAGTCGGCACCTTCGCTTGGCCCTAGATGTCTACCCCAGAGTTGTGTTTAGGGGACGGAGCTCATTATTCAAGGGCTCCCATTTGTTTTACTGGACTTTCTAGATAGTCTCAAAGCTGGTGCTCCCTCTCTAATAACCTCCATAGTGCTCCTGCTACGGTGTGCTCCTGGCAAGCATGGATGTGTGCGGAACAGCAAGGATGAGCCCAGGACTCCGCGTCCACAGGACCAGGCTTACCCCAATCTGTCTTTCCTTCTTCACGAGAACAGCCAAGGTCTAGGTGGATGGAAGCTGTGGTTTCCCTCACTCGGTCGCTGCTCCATCTGAGTGGTATATAGAGGCTTCCCACGACTGGCTAGCCTCTCCCTGTGGTAGTGTGTCTGCTGCTCCAGGGACATACAGTCACTCTGCCCAGCACCTGGGAAGGTTTCCCTTCAGCTCTCTCCAGTCCCCTGTCAGCTCAGTTTACTCTATAGCCCAGCCTGGAGAGGATCTTAGAAAAAAGCATGAGCTGTTACAGTTTAGCAGTAGAGTTCTTGCCTAGCACACACAAGGTCATGGGTTACATCCCCAACACTAATAAAATGATGGGGAGGGGGTGTTGTTGCTTCAGTGTTGTCTCCTTTCTGTCCACTGTTCAGAGCAGACCTCAGCCACCACAGCACAGCCCCTTCACTGGTTCCCCAGTGGCCTGGGTTCAAAGGCAAAACCTCCTCATCCTACTTAGTGCTCAAAGTCCTTAGTAAGTTGGAGGCTGCCCGACCTTCTTCACCTGATGCTCTAGTCTAAGCTGGTTGGTCCCTAACATCACCTGCCACCTGCCTTCTGCTGTGTCTCTGTCTAGCCTTAGCCTTCAGAAGGTCTTTCTTTATTATGCTACAAAAAATTCTAGCTATTCCACTAAGTATAGCCTGAAGGTTTTACCCGCTAGAGTGGCTTTGCCCTAGGCCCCCAGGCAGAATTCCTTTAGCCCTGAAGTGCTCCGCCCAGGTCAGCATCTGCCTATTTCAGCAAAGAATGCAGCCATTTCCACAGAACCAGATGGATTCAGCCCAGTCCCTTTCTGCCCTGCAGCTGGCTCCAGGGAATGGCCCACAGACTAAAGCAAGGCTAGGGAGGAGCAGCAGCTCTGCATCCCAACTTGAGAGTCAGGGACACCTGGCTTTCATCCCCCCCCCCCCCCCCCCCCCCCGGCACCATTCCGTACTGTGATACTAGGAGTATTTCTAAACTTCTCTAAGCTCAGCATCCACATCTACCAACCAGGGCTGATAACAACGTGGTAAGTAGGGGCAGGCTGTGGAAATGGTTCAGGCAGGTCCTTTATCAGTGGCTGACACCTCTCCACAGTCACACTCACGAGGGGTGTGTGGATGTATATGTGTGTTTTCATATAGTTACAAAGACAGTGTCCTGTATCAGAACTGGCTTCTTCAGAGTCTTTGTACTGTTTACCGCTAACTCTCCAGTGCCCAGAACAGGACCTGGTATACAGGTGATAATCAATACCTATTGAATGAGAAGTCTCCGCCTAGCTCTGCAGGGCCATCCCGTCTCCATTCATCCCTGCAGGCTGCACTCTCTCTGTGTCAGCGGGTTCTGGGCATTGAGGTCAGAACTTCAGGCTTGGAGGCAATGCCCTTAACCACCAAACCACCTTGCCAGTCTCAACCAAGTTCTTTTAGAACCCTCTTGAAAATGATTTCATTTTGTATTTAGTACTTCTACAGAAGATCTGAGAACACATTCTCTCTAATGACCACAGACAATCTGAGATTGGTGCCACTGTGCCCTTGTTATAAACAAGGCCTGTGTGGCCAGAGAACTTGGCCCAGCTAACGAGGCAGGCTGCCATGCTAGGCTCCTGGCTGGGCCATCCTCCAACCTAGTGTTACTCCTTGTGGGGTTGGCACTGCCCTGCTGGTCAGTCTGCAGCCTCTGGCTCTCCATTTTCTAGCATAGGACTGAGCCTCCTGCAGCAGAGACTGCAAGGCCAAAGAGGAAGCAGACAGTGTGCAGAGACTCCAGCTGCCACAGGTCCCGAGTCCCCACAGATAAACCAGAATTGAGGTACAGCCCTCTCTGTAAACCTTTGGGATACACAGGCGGGGCTGGCACTGCTCTGAGTCTGCACTTGTTCTCTGACGCCCTGCTACTCTGAAAGAGACAAGGTGCCCAGGAGGCTCTTTTGTGCAGCGCTCTGAATCCAACCCTGAATGCAGGGAGCCAGGTGGATGTCGACATGGTGAGGAGGGAGACTGCACACTGGTTTCGGAGCTGGAGTGGGCTACCTACCCCGGGGCTATGAACATCTGCACAATACACTCAATCAACACTCGTGAACAACTGAACTTCCCTTCTGTACTAGCAGGCCTCTGCGGCCAGTGTTCCAAACCTGCATCCTACATTATGTCACTGACCCTACCAACACACACGCAGATACCCGAGGACCCCAGTTTACAGATAAGGAGACAGAGATCCCTCTTCCCACCCTCCCGCGCTGGTGAGTCT